AGAGCTTCAAGCTGTAACCCTGGGTAGAGTGCCATGGCATCACAGCCCACAGTAACCTCCAACTCCTGGGCTCAGATTCTCCTGCCTCCGCCTCCCAAGTAGCTGGGACTACAGGCACCTGCCACAACTCCCGGCTATTTTTTGGCTAAAGCTGTCATTGTTGTTTGGCAGACCTGGGCTGGATTTGAACCCGTCAGCTCAGGTGTATGTGGCTAGCGCCTTAGCTGCTTGAGCCACGGGCGCCAAGCCAGCGAATTTCTTCAGTGCTTGTATATCTGTAAAAGATTTGATTTCTCTATCAATTTTGAAGCTTAGTTTATGCTGCTAAACTTTAGAAGGATACAGAATTCTGGGCTAAAAATTATTTTGTTTAAGGATGTTGAAGGTGGATGACCATGCCCTTCTGGCTTGGACAGTTGAGAAGTCTGGCTTTTCAGTTGAAAAGTCTGCTGGCATCCTAATGGTTCTGTGCCTGTAGACCAGTTGGCACTTACCCCTAGCTGCTTACAGAATTTTCTCCTTCATCCTTGACTTTGAACAGGTTCATTATAATGTGTCTTGGAGAAGTTCTTTTAGAACTGAGATGATTTGGAGTTTGATATCCACCTGAAAGGAGTGTGTAGGGATCTTTAGTACAACTTGGGAAGTTTTCACTTATTATAGTCTCCAGTAGGGCTTCCATACCTTTCAGACAATCTTCTTCCGCTTCAGAGATTCCTATTATTTGTATGTTTGAATGCTTCATGGAGTCTCGTAGTTCTCTAAGTGGCTGCTCTGCTGTCTCTCTCTTCTTTTTTGCCTCTTTAGCTACCTGGGTTGACTCAAGAACTTTATCCTCTAGCTCTGAGGTTCTTTCCTCTCCATGGTCTAATCTATTTTTGATACTCTCTACTGCCTCTTTACATTCCCTGATTGTCTCCTTCATTTTCTTAAGCTCCACTATATCCTTTCTATATTCTACATATCTCTTGTCTGACTTTTGGTTCTCTCTTTCCATTCCCTTTATTGTCTTAATCATCCATATTTTAAATTCCATTTCTGTCAAATCCATTAATTCTTTTTTTTTTTTTTTTTTTATTTGAGACAGAGTCTCACTATATTGCCCTCCGTAGAGTGTCGTGGCATTAGCAACCTCAAACTCTTGGGCTTAAGTGATTCTTTTACCTCAGCCTCCCAAGTAGCTGGGACTATAGGTGCCTGCCACAATGCCCAGCTGTATATTTTTTTGTTGTTGCAGTTGTTTAGCTGGCCCAGGTCAGGTTCGAACCTGCCAGTCTTGGTGTATGTGGCTGGTGCTGTAACCACTGTGCTACAGGTGCCGAGCCAAATCCATTAATTCTTTATAGGAGGAGTCTTCTGTAAGAGGTGCCTCATGGTCCCTTAGAGGAGTTGCTCTGGGTTTTGATGGTGCCTGAATTATTATTATTTTTTTTTTTGCAGTTTTTTGGCCAGGGCTGGGTTTGAACCCGCCACCTCTAGCATATGGGCCAGCGCCCTACTCCTTTGAGCCACGGGCACTGCCCAAGTGCCTGAAGTTTTTTGTTGGTTCCTCCTCATGTGTGCTTTCTTCTTCTTCAACTCCTTGTGTTCCTTTTTCCTTCTCACATCCTCCTTTGTTTCAAATTACTTTGTATCAGAGTTTAGGTGATGAAGAGGCCTCTTGGTGTGAGGCCAAAAGGAGAAGAAAGGTAAAGAGTGAGCAGCAAGAAACAAAAGGAAAAGAAAGAAGGAGGAAAAAAGAAAGAAAAAGTTGTAGAAAAGAAAAAGAAAAAAAAAGGGAAGAAGGAGTAACAGAAAAATGCCTGAAGAACAGAAGAGAAGGAGGTCAGGAAGAGAAAATGAGCGTCATGGAAGAAATGGTATTGATCAGCATGGTGCTAAGGCCACATCTGTAACTCAAGGATTTTGAGGGGTTGGGCTGGGTGAGTTCCTCAAAATCAGGCACTCCTTACCAGCCTGAGCAGAGCCAGACTCTTCCAAAAATAGGAAGAGAAGAGAAACAGCAAAAACAAAAAACAAGAAGGAAAGTTAAGCAAGAATGAAAATAACAGAAAAATTCTACAGCATGATCTTGCCAATACTTTCTTCCTATGGCCAAAGGTAGAATAGTCTTTTAGCCCCCTTGAGCCAGACTACTGTTGTTGCTTACCTGTCAGACCACAGCTGTGTCACCCCAACGCTCAGCAAAAAAGGAAAAAAAAAAAGAAATAACAAGGAAATAAAAATAGATAAAAGAAATTAAAAATACCATTGTATCAAATAAAGGAGAGAGAGGGAAGTGGAATAAAGAAAGAAAGGAGAAAGACAAAAAAGGGGAGAGGATATCTTAGCTGTTGCAGAAGTGATTTATGTGGGAGAGATGAGAACAGCAGAAGAGAGAATGTAGAGGAGTGAAATAGGGAGAGAGAATAAATGAGGCTAAAATACTTTTACCAAAAAATACAGGAGCCCTTGCTCTTGATGAAAGTAAAGATGGAAGTTAAGGATAGACCCAACCAAACAAATTAGCAAGAAACAAAACATATCAATATAAAATAATTAAAAGCTCCAATAACAAAAAATAAGCAACCTCAGAAACAAAGAAACAAAAAAGAAAAAAGAAAAAAAATGCTAACAAGAAAAAAAGAAAATAAATAAATAAATAAATATATATATATATATGCTTTTGGATTTGGAAGGGCCGCCTTTAGTAGGAATATATTTGTATTGCAATATATGGTCAGGACATGGTCAGGACACCAGGTAGCGTTGTAGTTTTAGGGGATGGACAACACAGCTGGTACTCACTCTAGCTCCCGGGCATAGACCTGTCTCCCAACTTAATCGTCTGTGGTAATTGCCTGATTATTTCTTCAGCATTCAGGCCCTGCCAGGTTGAGATCTCAAAGCTCTCCAGAATCTTTCAGAGGCTGGTCTCACCATGTCCCCAGACAACAGTTCCTATGGGGTGCAGGAATCCCTGATTGGAGGTCTGATCCCAGTAGGCAGAACGAAGAAGGCCATGTCACTGTAGGATGCCTGCCCTCATGACCTTCTTGGGACCTTCCTCAAATGGCCACCTCCTGGCTGCTAAGACCTTTTGAGTATGGTTGTCTCTATCATGGCCAAACCAGTGGCAAATCCACTCCAACTAGCCCTCAAATCTGGCTGCTATACACTGTTTGGATGTGCCCACCCTTCCAGGTTTTTCACTCAATGCTCAGCTTCTCCTGAGAACCAAAAACTGCAAAAAGGCTTCCTTTCTACTCAGACCTCTGTGGAAGAGCTGATTGCTCCCCCTGGCTTGTGAACACTTGCATAGAGTGTCAGAACTCCGTAACTCTAGTTCATGCACAACATCCAGCACCTTGCTACCTTGCTGCGCACCCCAGCCAGAGCTCCAGGCAAGGTCTCCATGCCACCAAGCACAGCCTGGCTTTCTCCCATTCCTCAGTTGTACCAGTTCAGCCAAATGATGTTTCTGGTTTGCCATCTTGCTCTGCCCCTCTATCCCTTCTCTCAAACCCATGTCATTTGAGTTGGTTCTGCAACAGAGGTGACCTGGCTCCCAAAGCTCATTTTGCACAGCCTGAAACTGTCCCTGCAGTTCCCAATCATGTCTTTGTGATTGGAGTAGCTGATCAAGTTGCATATTTGCTGCTGTGCAGGATTGGAAATGGATCTGTCTTTGCTGAAGACTAGCCTACACCTCTTATGTGGTGGGATTTTACTCCCATGACATGTGTCCTGGGTGGCACCCTAACAGAGCTGCAAGACTGTGCCCTTCCCTCCTGAAAGATGTCATTACACCAGGTAAAGAGTTTGCCCTCAAAGACCTGGATGTGGCTGGTTTTGTGTGCTCTGTGCCGAGGAGGGAGGCATGGAAAGGAAAGAGCCACTGAAAGCAAATGTGAGACTCCTCAAATGCCAAGGTGCAGCGCTGGAGAAACATAGCACGCAGCCAGTTTGGGTGACTGCTGTGAGAAGCCCAGCCACCACCACCTGACTGAAGGGCTCCAGGTGGGCTCTGCCCATCTGTCAGGAGCAGTGCAGCAGCTCACAGCCCCCCTGACACTAAAACTACACTCAGACAAGTGAGGCTACTCATGAGGTATAGAATCTCATTATCTGGGGAAGCCACTCCTCCACACAGTACCCAGATGTCACCATGCAAGGAAAGGAGGGTGGTGTTTATGAAGCCCTGAAAGATGGCAGTTGGCTCAGGGGAGAAGATGACAGCTGGCTCAAGAAGCATGGTGCTACTGTATTTGAGGCTTGGAAACTATCGGGTGCAATGGCGAAAGCCATCTCTCTCCATGTACAGACATCTGGTTTGGAACCACAAAGGGAGAGAATACATCCCTGGACATTATCTCTGATGGTGGCTCCTATGGGATTCATGATGACCTCTCTACTCACCCTCAACATGATCAAGAATAAGCCCTGAGAGTCTGCTGAAGGCCTCCTATTAATGATTTCTCATGTGAGAAGATGCATCTTACTGCAGAGGAGCCAGGAGAAGAAAGAGAAACTGTTTCTGAATTTCTTTCTTTTATCTGACTAGATGATCATTTCCATGTTACTAAATTACTTGTGAAAAACAACACATTTAAAGACTGTGTTCAGATTTGCGTAATTTATTGCCATTGCTGTCAGTGCTGCTTTCTAAAGAGACAGGAACATTCAAATGAAAACAATCCATGCTATCAGACTTTGTTCAATGTTTAAACCATTTCTAAACATTTCAAAAGATCTGCTGAATTTGGTCCTTGGGTTGACTGCCCTGTGCTGAGAGCAGCTCTGGGGGTTCCTGCTCACCTGATGGGCTCCTCCTCCCATGCACCATCCAGGCGCTTCCTGTAGGAAGTCCCGAGGATCTCTGCCTGCTGCTCCCACTGACTTTCCTTGATGAAGTGGTTCTGCCCGGAGCCCAGCCCATAGCAGTCTTCTATCTTTGAAAAGACTTCCAGGGGACTTTTAAATGCAGTGCCTGGGTTGAAAATATTCCTGAGTTAGTCAAGCCACCTGACTCTCCCTTTCCTGATTTCCCCCTATGTCCTCCATGTTTTTAGGTTTCCTGCAGAACCCCTCATCCTTGGAAATCTGTTCTTGCTTTGCAATCGGTCAATGAGCCCCTGGTGTTCTTCTCACCTCTCCCCGACCTCACCAGCTGACACAACAGCAGCCCTCCCTACACCTCTTCCTACATCTCCATTCCCACATCATTCTCTCTGCTTCTGGATCACAGAAGCTCTCTGAGGGAGGCCAGGGAAATGCTGACTATATCACTAGAGATGTCTGATCACTTTTGCTGTCCCCTCAGCTAAGGCAGGCCCTGGACCCACCCATCACCATCACCTGTCAGTCATTGCTGAAGACCCTACACTTAGGCAGTCCCAGACTCTTCCTCTGCTGATGTCCATCTAAATACCTTCTTTAAAAAGAAAAAAAATCTCTTTTCTTTGTTAGTCATTTTTCTTATTACTCCCTTTCCTAATAATTATGTATTTCCTTTTTTCCCCATCAATTCCTAAATCCTCAGTAAAACTGGGTGACTTATTTTCTGGGTTCACACCCCAAGTTTCAGAATTCTGTTCACTTTGAAAGGTGCCTGGGTCACTCAAGTTGCCCAGGAAGGTCCCACAATGCCCCTGGCTTCTTTTTCAGAGACAACAACTATCACCAGTTTCCTGCATAACTTTCTAGAGGGACACCTGTTTCATAAACAGATGGTATCATATGATACTCCAGCAGTTCCCAAAGGGTGGCATCCGATCAGCAGGATTAGTCACCTGGGAACTTGTTAGAAATGCAGATCCTCAGGCCTCAGGCCCACTGGAGCAGAAACTCTGCAGTGGGGTATCTGGGTTTTAATGAATTCTCCAAAGGAATCTGATGCAACTGAAATTTGAGAATTGTTGTTACTACATCCCTTGTATTTTCACTTGAAGTATTTTGGAAAAGACTTCACACAGCTCCTCCTCATTGTTATTTAATAACTAAATAGTTTTTCATATCTTTTTCATGTTGTGAAAAGAGCATAAAAATATGTATCTTAATAATTTATTACAAATCAAACATCTGGCATTATCTACTCAGGTCAAGAAACAGAGTGTCAACAGCTCCCTAGAATTTCCCAAGGGCCCTTTCCAATCACAGCCCACTGGGTATATTTGCAACTACTCTCCTGACTTTCATGGGAGCCACTTCACTGCAGTTACTTACAATTTTACCACTAACATGCATCCTCAACATTACAGGATTTTTTTTTTTGCCTGAGTTTGAACTGTACATAAGGGAACCATATAGTATTAATCTATGCCTGTGTTCTGCTCAGTATTGTTTATGAGATTTATCCATTTCATGTATGTCGCTGTGGTTTGTTCATTCGCATTGCTGTATGGTATGCTACTGAATAAACATAGTATGATCTGTTCTACTATTAATGAACGTTTGGTTATTTTCTGTTTGAGGCTGTTAAAAATCATGTCACTATCACCATTCTGGTGCCTGTCTCCTGGTATACATTTGCTTGCAACTCTGTGGGTACCTACCTACAAGTAGCATGACTTAAATGAGTTTGTCTAGGAGTTTCCTAGCTTTAGCACAGAAAATCTCACATCCCAGGCAAAACAGTACGGTTGGTCACCCTACCTAGGAGTTCAAATGCTGGGTGATAGGATATACATTATTGTAAACCTTATTAGATAATACCAAACTGCTTTCCAAAGTGGATGTACCAATTTTTGTTGTTAAATGCAATGTATGGAAGTTCTAATTATTCCACATCCTCACCAACACTTAGTATGGTAAGTCTTTTATAATTTTAGCCTTCCTAGTGTATGTGTAGTGGTATCTCATCGTGATTTTAATTTGTATTTCTTTTGGAATTAATGACAGTGAGAATATTTTCATGTGTTTATTGGTTATTTGAATAACTTCTTTTCTGAGTGGCTTGTAAGGAATTCTTGCCTGTGTTGTGCTGTATTATCTTGTTCCTTAAAAACTTGTAGGGATTCATTGTATATTCTGGATATGGACCATTAATAAGTTATATGTGTTTTGCAAATATCTTTTCCTTCTCTGTGGCTTGCTCTTTCAGGCTATTAATGCTGTCTTCAGATGAGTAGAAGCTCTTAATTTAAATGTAATCAAATTTATAACATTTTTCCTCTATTTTAAGTACTTTTTGTGTCTTGGTTAAAACTCTTTCTCTACCCAGAGGCCATAAGGATATTGTTTATATTATTTTCTAATAGTTTTATTGCTTTGCCCTTTGTATTTACTTCTACAGTTCATATGGAATTTAGTTGTGTGTATGATGTGAGGCAGGGCTTATGTTTTATTTTTGTCTTCATATGGACAAGCAACATAGCTTATTGAAATGACCACCCTTTCTCTGCTGCTTTGTAGTGCTGCCTCTGTAATGTATCAAGAATCTATTCATGCATGGGTCTGTTCTGGCTTCTCTATTCTGTTTCATTCATCTACTCAATCATCTATTTTTCTATTCACTATTTCTATCTATCTACATTTTTATAATTCATCTATATTTCTATTTTATCTTGTCTTAATTACTGTAGTTTTGTAATGAATCTTAATAGAGTAAGTCCTACCATTGTGTTCCTTTACAAGAGTAAATTATCTATTCTTGGTCTTTTACATTTCCCTCTTGTTTTTTAATGGTTGCAAAGTATTCCTTTGCATATGTGTACCAGATCTAATCAGTCTTTTGCCTCTGTAAAAAATACCACAGTGAAAATTTCTGTTCTGTGGCTCTATCTTTGAGATGATGTGCAAGTGCTGAGGAGACGCTCTATTCTGCAACTCTTGACTGACTCCCACTTATTCTTTAAAACCTTGCCCAAATGTCCCTTCCTTTGACAAAGCCTTTGTTTCCACCCTAGGCAGAGTCAGAGTTTTTGTTTTAAGGTCCCAGAGCTTATAAGTTTTAAGAAGTATCCTCTCTAGAACTATGCTTGTAAATTAGATATTACTGCTAATAAAGACAGGCAGTCCCCAAGTTATAAACATAAACTTACATACAACTCACACATACGAATGGAGGCTACTTCAGGTTATAGGTAAATGTACCTGTTCCTACTTATATACAATTTCAACTTAAGAACAAACCTACAGAACCTATCTCTCTTACAACTCAGAAAGTGCCTGTAGAAAAAATTAGAAATCCAGAGAAAGGCAAAAAAAAAAGGAAAAAAAAATGGAGAAATCAATGACAAAAGAAAAGTATTAGTTGAATTATACTTACCAGTAATAGGTTTAGGTGGTTTAATCCTCATTATGTAAACTGGAGGACTCAACTTCACATCTCCTTTAAAACAAATTACATCCTAAAATAAGAAAAAGGCCAACAAAAGATATGAAATGGAATCATTAAAAACACTTATTCTAAAAGAAGGCAGAAAAATAGGAAAAAGGAAGAAAAACAGCTGGGATAAGGAGAAAGTAAATAGCAAGGTGGTAGACTGAAACCCAAACATAGCAACAATCACATTAAATGTAAATGGTCTAAATACTCCAGTTAAGAGGCAAAGATTGTCAGAGTGAATAAAAAGGCAAGACCCAACTCTATGCTGTCCAAAAAAAATAAACCCCAAAACAAACAAACAAAAAAACCACACCTCATTTTAAATATAATGACAAACATATGCTAAGAGTAAAAATATAAAAAAAGATACATGCTTTTGGATTACTAAAACTAATCAAAAGAAAGTTAGGGTGGCTATATTAATATCTGACATAGAAGATTTAAGAATAAAAAATATTATCAGAGATCAAAGAGCAAATAATGATAATATGATCAATTCATCAGAAGATATAACATTACAAATTATTAACAGTTTCAAAATACACGAAGCAAAACTCATAGAAGTGAAAAAAGAAATAGATAAATATACAATCTTAGATTCCTCTTTCACTAGCTGATAGAATAAGTAGACAGAAAATCAGTAAGAACACAGGAAGGATATAGAAGGAAAAGCAGTAAGGCTATGGCAGACTCAAACAGTGTGACCAATAGCAGCAGAATGTATATTCTTTTCAAGTGCACACATAACATTACCAAGGTGAACCACATTATGGGCATAAAACAAGTCTCAATAAACTCAAAAGGATACAAATATATAGAGTATAAGCTCTAATCACAATGGAATTCAATCAGAAACCCATAAAAGAAATTATCTGTAACATTCTAACATTTAGATGCTAAATAACATGCTTGTGAATAATCCATTGGTTGAAAAAGAAATGAAAAGCAAATTAAAAATACTATTAATTGAATGGAAATTAAAACAAATCAAAATTTAAAAGATGCAGCAAAAGCAGTAATTATACATAAATTTATTATAGCACTAAAATGCCTATATTAGAAAAGGAGAAGAAGTATCTCAAATCAACAATGAGTTTCAGCTTCTAGAAATTAGAAGGCAAGGAAAAAACTAAACCCAAAGAAAGCAGAACAAAGGAAATAACAAAAAGAAAACTGGAAATAACTGAGATAGAAATTAGTAAATAGAAAAAAAATATGAGAATACGTGGGACTCCAGACATTCACCATGAAGTTCAATCCTTTCCTGACCTTGGACCATAGCAAAACCCGCAAACGACATTTTAATGCCCCCTTGCACGTTCACAGGAAGATCATGTCGTCTCTGCTATCCAAGGAGCTTCCGCAGAAGTACAACGTGTGCTCCATGCCCATCTGCAAGGATGATGAAGTCCAGGTGGTTTGAGGACACTATAAAGATCAGTAAATTGGCAAGGTAGTCCAGGTGTACAGAAAGAAATACGTCATCTACATTGAGCAGGTGCAGCGTGTGAAGGCTAATGGCACAACTGTCCACGTGGGCATTCACCCAAGCAAGGTGGTTATCACCAGGCTAAAACTGGACAAAGATTGGAAAAAAATTCTTGAATGCAAAACCAAGTCTCAATAAGTTAGAAAAGAGAAAGGCAAATACAAGGAAGAACTTATGGAGAAAATGCAAGAATGAATATAATCTTTCATGAAACCACGGTTTAACTGTAGCTTTTAGCCTAGTGTGTGTTTGGAACTTTTCAAAAATGTACCTGGAATATTCCATTTCCTTCTTGTTTTGTTATTGACCTGTGGCTCTATAAACCTACTCTTGCAATTTTGATTAAAAATTGGAAATATTTCTTAATTCCAAAAAAAGAAAAAAAAATGAAACCAGAAGTTTATTCTTTTGAAAAGATGAATAAAATTGACAAACCTCTAGCCAAGCTGATAAAGATAAAGGAAAGAAGACACAAATTACCCATGTTAGGGATGAGAGATGACACTACGGCTCGGTGCCTGTGGCTCAAGCGGCTAAGGCGCCAGCCACATACACCTAAGGTGGCGGGTTCGAATCCCCAGCCCGGGCCCACCAAACAATGATGGCT